CTTTCCACTAAGCATATTTTTATCTCGCAGCATGTTTTATTTTTTGAGCAGGTGTTCCCCTACCAGGAACTAGTTGATACTGCCACGAGAGAAACTGCACCACCTCAGCCCACTACAATTCCATTACCTCCTGTCCCTATTCCACAAGTTACTGGAATTTTGGGTGCTCAACCAAAGCGCAGCATCAATAACCTCTCTATTACACCAAACGCAACAAATCCTTCACCTGGTTCACAAAGCCCACATCATACCAATCAACATGTACTCACCATTTCACTTAACCAGTTGGACCCCGCCATTAACCCAATGCATACCGTCTCACTAAGTGAAACTCTAACCGAACCAACTTCTGAAGCAAACCTATTTGGTCCAACCATCTCAGCAACCCATACATCACTCCACATCGTTTCAATTAATTCACCAGGCCCCACCGATTTCATTAACTCTCCTTCATCTGCTCAACACGAAATTGCAGTAACAGAAGCAGTCTCTCTTCCACTACCTTCATCTTCAACAATCCACAAAAGTGCATCCAATGGTGACACGGTAGCAAACTGGAACACTAAAGCCCAAAATTTCATGGTCTCCACGGGTCTCATAATGCTACAATTTCAACTTTGGTTCCTACTTGTTATACACAGGCTATTACATGCTCCCATTTGCGAGATACAATGATTTAGGAATTAAATGCATTATTACAAACTAGTACATGGGAATTGATTCCTCGTCGTATTGCACAGAATGTTGTGGGTTGCAAGTGGGTCTTTCGAATCAAACGAAAAGTTGATGGTAGTATTGAACATTACAAAGCTTGACTAGTAGCAAAGGGGTTTCATCAACGCCCCGGTGTTGATTATTTTGAGACTTTTTCACCAGTTGTTAAACCAACTACCATCCGAGTAATCTTGTCTCTAACTGTCTCTAGAAATTGGGTGGTCAACAAATTAGATGTTTCCAATGCATTTTTGCATGGTAACTTGGAGGACGAAGTATTTATGGAACAACCACCAGGGTTCCAAGACAAAATGAAGTCGGACCATGTATGTCGCCTTCCTGTTCTCTTTATGGTTTGCGCCAAGCACCACGACAATGGTACAAAAAACTACATTTTGCATTGATTCTTAACGGCTTTCGTGTTTCACCTGCAGACTCATCATTGTTCCACTATGCTAAAACCAATGTCATACTTTTTGCATTAGTGTACGTTGATGATATAATATTAACAGGCACTAGTCATAGTGAGATGCAGCAAATAATGGCCTCTTTACAGTCGGAATTTATGCTTAAATATCTTGGGCGATTAGATTATTTTCTAGGCATGGAAGCACACTGGTTGCCTGAAGGCTTACTTCTCACATAGCAAAAATATATACTGGATTTGTTGAAAAAGGCTAGAATGGAAGATTGCAAAGGTATTGCTACACCGGTTGTCTCGAGAGATAAAATGTCATCGACTGGAAGTTCCTTGTTCTCAGATCCTTCGTTCTATCGGCGTACTGTGGGTGCTCTGCAGTATCTCAGTTTAACTAGACCAGAAGTCTGTTTTTCTGTTCATAAAGCTTCTTAGTTTCTTCAGGCTCCTACTAATGATAATTGGAGTTCAGTCAAGCGCATCTGAAGGTACTCGGAAGAGACAGTACATTACGGACCTCTCATTCGAAAATCCACTCATACTAATTTGAATGTGTATACTGATGCTGATTGAGCAAGCAGTCTTGATGATTGAAAATCCACCACTGGTTATGCAATTTTTATGGGTCTAAATCTTATATCTTGGAATTCCAAAAAGCAACAGACTGTTGCTCGCTCTTTCGCTGAAGTGGAGTGTAGAGCCATCGGATTAGCTTCCACTGCATTAACATGGATCCAAGCGCTTTTATGTGAGATTGGCTTTCATTCTGTTCATACACCTAATCTATGGTGTGATAATATTTGTGCTACATATTTGTTCGTAAATTCGATTTTTCATGCGCGCACAAAGTATCTTGAGGTTGATTTTCATTTTATACGTGACAAAGTACAAAAGAAGGAGCTTCAAGTAAAGTTCATTTGTTCCAATGATCAACTCGCTGATACCTTAACAAAACCGCTTTCCAAAGCATGGCATCGAGCTCTAATGTTTCATTTAACAATTCGATCATTCTCCAAGAATGCTCGAATTGAGGAGACGTGATAAGGATACCAGTTGTATATTTCATATTACTGTAATTAACCGTATCTTAAGATAATTTTGTATAACTACAAACTCTTATAAATAAATATAGTACCGAAACACAGAAATAATACAAGTTGAATTCCAAAAGATATTAAACAACTTTAGTTTGAACTTGGCTTTCTATAAAAAATTTTGACATCTAATTGGGAAAGATATTGCTAACGAGTGCAAGTCTAAGTTACAATAAGATTTCCTCTTGCAAATTTGGGAAGCTAGAAGGACAAAAACGGTTGAGTTGTTGGTCGTTTATGCTTGAAACAGTGGATGTTTCAGAATTTATTTACATGGAAACTAGTTTTCAAACAAGTCTTGATATTTATGCAAACTCATGCAATTCCGTGCATAAATGGCGGACTCAACATGCATAGGTGATTTTTCTCCTTATCTTAACCGTTATCTTGTCTTTATGGATGTCACATTCTTTGAAAATACTCTATTTTCCCCTTATTTTTCCATATATGAGGGTTAAAGGGTTAAGGGGAGGATGATGATCTTTTAGTTTACACTATTACACTTCTTTCTAGATCTACTGCTCCTGATCCTACTCTTGCTCTTGTCCTTGCTCCTACACTAACATCCACTCGCCCGCACTTTGATCAAGTTTATTCTAGACGATCCAAGACTCTTAACTTGCGTGCTCCACCTGTTGCTTCGACAGAAGAACCATTCTTCTTCTCAACTTGAACATGTGCCATCCACTTCTCTTCAGTAGACTTTGGTCTTCCCATTGTTCTTCGCAAAGGTAAATGCCAGTGTACTTATCCTATTTCCTCATTTGTCGGTTATGATCACCTATCTTTTTCATATGTTGTTTTGTGAGTAACTTAGACTCTATTTCTACACTTACTACTATTGCTCAAAAAATTTTCCATCCTGGTTGACATGCAACAATAAAGAGGAGATGACTGCTTCAGATGCTAATGGTACTTGGGAGCTTGTGCCTCTCTCTGCCAGGTAAGAGAGTTATTAGTTGTAAGTGGGTTTGACAGTTAAAAATGAATCTTGATAGGTCTGTTCCTCCCCTTAAGGCTCGTTAGTTGCTAAGGGCTATATTCAAGTTTCATAGGCTTGATTATTATGGTATTTTTTCTCTTGTGGCCAAATTGTCTTTTGTCCATTTATTTATTTCCTTGGTAGTGATATTTTCTTAGCCTTTATATTAGCTGGATGTTAAGAATCTTTTTTTTTTTCATGGGGACCTTTAGGAAGAGGTTTATATGGAGCAATCGCATAGCTTTGTTGCTCGGGGGAGTTGGGTAAAGTCTGTAAACTTCACTAATCTCTTTATAGTCTAAAATATAGTCCTCGAGCTTGGTTTGGTAAATTTTGCGAATAGTCCTCAAGCTTGGTTCGTAGATTTTGTGAGTTGGTATAGTAGTTTGGCATATTTAAGAGTAACTCAGGTAACTTAGTTTTCTTTAGAAAGACTAATGCTAATTTAATTAGTATTCTTTAGAAAGATTATGCTGATTTAATTCTACTTGTAATTTATATTAATGACATTATTATTACAGGAAGTGATTCGGCAGACATCTCATCACTTAAGTCATTTCTCTAAATTCAATTCCAAACAAAATACTGAGGATCATTAAATTATTTTTTAGGTGTTGAAGTTTTCAAGTGTAAGAGAGGCATCATCTTATTTCAAAGGAAGTATGTCATTGATTTGTTGAAGGAAATTGGAAAACTAGGTGCTAAACCATGTGGTGCTCTGAGTCCTAATCCATACCTAATTATTTGATGATCCTGAGACGTATAAAAAATTGATAGGCAAATTGAATTACCTTATAGTAACACGTCCAGATATGACTTATTCTATTAGTATCCTAACAATTTATGTCTTCTCTTACTGTAACTTATTTGGAAGCTTTTAAGATAGACTTTGTGCTACTTGAAAGGCACTCTAGGTCATGGCCTCCTTTATAATAATCACAATCATTTGTATATTGAGTGTTTTAGATGCAAATTGGGTAGATTCGAAGGTTGATAAACGATTAACTTTAAGATATTTTGTCTCTGTGAGCAGAAACTTGATATCATGGAGGAGCAAGAAACAAAATGTAATCTCTCGATCGAGTATTGAATCAAAGTACCAAACTATGACATAATCTACTTCTAAAATAATTTGGACTTGTCAATTGTTAGAGGAAATCGAATCTTTGCCTGCAAATTTGCGATATGTCACAATGTATCAAATCCGGTATTTCATGAACGAACAAAATATATCAAGATCGTCATTTCTTTTGTGAAAAAACACAGCAAGGTGTTATCTCTACAGGATATGTCGAAACAAGCAAATCTCTACATGATCCTCAAGTTGATTATCTCTACAACAAGTTAGCATGCTTAATATTTATGCTCCAACTTAAGGGAAGTGTCAAGGAAAGTCAACTGTGTTTATAGATATAGTTGGATTCTCAGGGATCCTTCCTAAAGATTATAGGAACCAACTTGTATACAATCTGATGCCTTTTCTTTTGTCAAATGTGGTTTATACAATTTGTTTCACAACCAATTATCCAAATTCGTTTCTTCCATTCTGCATATCTAAAAGACCTAACATACCAAGATCTGGTTCTTTGAATTAGTTTTCTAGAAAGAAAAAATAAAATATTCTCTCTTTCTTGATCACTTCTTCCCATGTCAAAATGATGAACTTGGCACAACCCTTTCTTGTACAAACTCAAGAATGCACTTCAAAAATTTGGTTAAATTAAACACCATCCATTAGTTAAAGACCTTAAGATGCTCTGTGAACATGCAGAGAATATCAAACTGCAATTGATAGCCAAAAAACAATAGTTTCCAACCATGGCTTATCCAGTCCAATTAACAAGGGGAAAAAAATCATCAAAGTGCAAACCCCTTTTCTGGAAGTATAAAGCATACACGGGTTGTGATTTTTATACATATGCATGCACAAGATTGTAAAATCTTCCCTCTGAAACAGAAGTTTGAGATGAAAATGACAGCCGGCTAGCCAATTTTCACCATCAGCACTTACATGTCAGCATATCTTCAGAAGGAAGTGTTAAAGCATGCCAAGGACAGTACACTAGGCATGCAAAGTTACACCAACCCAAACAGAAATTTCAAAAAGAAAATGAGAATCAATCAGTAGGCAGAATTTAAGTGTATCTATTTTTCCCAGAAAGGCCTTCAGCAATTTGTTTTTGACAATAATGAATATACAAGAACATTAAATTTATGGGACAAAATGATTCAGTTATGAGGGTGTTAAGTACTGTACAACCAGATGAACAGCCGCAAATAGCTTGAAAGCAGCCGCCTGCAAACATGACATGAACAATATTATGAATGAGTATATTGGAAGAAATATACAGCAACCATGATAAAAATGGAAGTATTCAAATTAAACAATGTTCTCAGGTTTAACATATTTGAGTAAACTATTTTGCAGCTACTTTATTGCTGTCATGCAGACCTACTTATGGGCACACTTCTCTACTTCCCTACAATTCTTAATCTCAACAGGTATGTAAAAATTGCTTAATTAATCATTACCTGAGAGAATTTATATATTTTCCTTTCAACTGAACTCTAAAATATTCAGATGGAGGCAAAGTGTTCATCTTTGCTTGGCTCAGCAAGGACTAGTGCTGATACTCTAGTACAGGTGTCTTCTTTATACTCGACTCATATTTTCACTTTGGAATAGTACATATATAAGGCCTTATTAAAAAAATACTTCCACTTCAGTTTTTCTGTAGTTTTATCATGAATTTTTGATTTTGGAAATTTTATACCTGAACTTTTATAACATTGTAATTCAATCACCTATTCAATTTCAAGTGAACCTAAGCCTGCCTGAATTTCCTAGCATGGCAGGTATTGATTCATTCCCTTTGTTACACATATAGTAATTAAAGGTGCAAAGGTATGCTAGAGACTAGGCGCAAGCCTGAGTGAAGCGAGGCGCAAAAAAAAAAAAAAAAAAAATTTCACAAATGGCAGGTATTGATTCATTCCCTTTGTTTCTACACATATAGTAATTAAAGGCGCAAACGTGATGGCTAGGACTAGGCGGCAAAGCTGAGTGAAGGCGAGCGAAAAAAAAACAAAAAAAAAAAAATTCAACACGATAAATCTGAAAATTATTTTTAAGAATATTGAAAAAGGAAAATTAGAAAACATGGGAAAGAAACACACATAAATCAGAAAAAATAGCAACATTGGACAAGTAATATTTTAAGATTATTGGAAAAAAAAAAAAAAAAAAAAATTTCAACACATAAATCTGAAAATTATTTTTTAAGATATGAAAAAAGGAAAAAAAATTAGAAAAACATGGAAAGAAACACACATAAATCAGAAAAAAAATAGCAACATGACAAGTAATATTTTAAGATATTGGAGTTAAGATGGAAAATAATAGAATCAAGAAAATGGAAAAAAAAAAAAAAGGAAAATAGAAAGCACATATAGGAAGAGAAATTGAGAAAGGCGTATCCTTATGGCTATTGGCTAAAAAACTAGATTGCAGGAGGTGAGTGCTGGATGTAGCAGAGGCTAGATCACAAAGCACATCACTGGTTCTTATGTTGCATTTTATTTCTTTTATTTATTTATTTTGTGTAAGCAGATGCTGACTGGACAGGTTTATATTGAAAGAAAACCCTAAGCGACTTCTTCAGGAAAACAAAAAATAGAAAGGCACACCTTTCTTGAGCCTTAGCCTCATGCCTCTACCCAAAGGCGATAGCCTAAGTGAACTCGCCTACCTGAGGACTATAGAGGCACAAGCCCTTGAGCCTTAAGCAACGGGCGCCTTTAATAACTATTACACACCAGCTATAAAAGATAATAATAATAAAATATTTCATGTCAACAATACACAATTTTGGGTTTGATGATACAAATGAAGAAAAAGATAACAAATTCAAGTCTACGAAGTCATCAAATGCAGATCAAATTTCCAGAAACTAAATAAGTGATACAACTGGAAAAATTTAGAAGCTCGACAACATTGAGAAGTTCATGATAGAATTACAAAAAAATGAGGAAGTTGAATTTTTTTTAAAAGCATTTAAATAATCAGAACCAAAGTAAACTTTACAAAGAGGAGCCTCTTTACTTAAAAACATATAAATACAAATTTATGTTTACAACCTAAATAAAAGACAGCTTTAGATACAATCAGGAAAAGCATTTTTCATGATACTGGCGAAACTAACAGAAGAATGGCCTCAACAGTATGTTCTCACTTCTCACAGGGTCCGGCCTATTTTAATTTAAAAAGAAGAAGAATCAGCAAATATCAGAACTAACTATATAGTAGCCTACAACATGTGATGCAGTATCCCATGCCTCTGCAGAAAATAACGGATCACTCTATTTGAATATTGGATTAGCCTAGGTTCATGATAATCATAAGTAACAAAAACAATCTCCTAAAAGTTGCATACAATTAAAACACATCAAAGAGACTGGCTACCTTTACCAAGGTAAATAAAAAGGTAGAAAAAGAATACCTCATGATTTCATCACGAAAGTTCATTTTTTGCGATTCTAAACTTGTGATGTAAATTAGGACAGCTGATGCAAGTGAAAGATGTAAGCTATTGAAAGGATCCTCCTAGATCACAGTGATGCTATAACGAGTTCAACAATGCAAGAAATTCCACTGGTTCTTCATCTTCTCTGATAATCTGTCATAATCAGCATTCAAGAATACATAATTTATCACCACGCAGTTCTGCTTTAGATTGACACATATATTGCACAAGCAACTTTGATATCACATGTCCTTGAATGAGAATGTTATAAGAGTGCCAAAGATAGTAGCCAAACAAGAGGAAAAAGATATCAAATAAAAGGCAAGTAAAACTGGTGATTGAACAACAAATCCCAGTATTGGTCCAATATTAATAGGAAATCAATAAACATGAAAGAGAGTAACAATAAGGGAGACAATTAACTGCAACAAAACCAAGAGGCGAAAATCAAAATTCAGCAAGATAACTACTTTTTAAGCTTTTTTTATCCATACTACTCAAGTTTAAAAGCATTCTCTGCCGATCCATTTAAGCTTCCTGTCTAAGCATCCTCCAAATGTATGAGTTCTTGGCTCGTGGATCAACACAATCTTTCACTCCCTTTTTTAAAACAAAAATTCTCCTCTAAATAGGCATTTATTTATTTAGTTATTTATTTTTGCGAATAGTGATAAGATATTAAAACCATGAGAAGACTCCTGAGCATGCAGTAGTGATAGAATTAGGAACACACAATGACAGTGAACCTGTTCAGTGCACTTGCATAATACCCTTATCTGTTTGATGCATTAAATGTTCACATATTTGGACCTTTGGACCTCAGTCTATTCAACTTAGATCAGCGACTCAACATTGATCTTCCTTTGCCATGACATGGGGTTAACATGGATATATGTGGGTTGAAAGAATTGTGCATCAGGAGGAGAAAATCCTTTATTTTCAATTACATCAACTGTTCAGTTATTTTCCTGCAGCTTCAGCAAGACCAGCTATATGGAGTATTTCACAAAGAAACCAAGCACTCACTTTCTCAACTGATTACAATGCATAAATTGCTCTAAATTGAAGTCAAAGCTAACTGCCAAACTCATGTAAAGCCAATGAAGCACCTTTGCATGGTCATTGCTAAAAGTTGTAACTCACTTTTAAAATGTCCTCTATGTAAAGATTGTTACCGAGGAAAAGAGCATGTACTCCAACACTAGTAGGTCTGACACGTATGGGACATAACAGATGTGAGATACAGGGTAATTAAAACCATTCTGTCCAACAATATTCATCCTTTAAATTGGTAGGAACGAAAAAGGGATTAAGTTGATTCTGAACAAGGTGCTCTCTCTCTCTCTCTCTCACACACACACTCACACACACACACACACACACTCTTATATATGTGAAGATAACTACTCCAACAACCAAGCAAGCATAGATGGTTAGAAAACAAGCATATAGATTTATAGATGGTTAGAAAACAGAACTGGTAAGTAATCAAACTCCTACTCCTACCTTCCTTAAATTCAGATATCCTATAACAACTGCAAGCTAAGCCATTCAAGAACATCCATGTTGCCTAAGGTGACCAGTGAATCGGATACAAGGTAAAGTGGAAAACCAGTTCATGCAGATCCAACTCTTCCCAGCACAACAGCCCAGTACAAATTAACCATAAGGTAAATAAAGGAATACTAACTGGTGAATAACTAAAGATTTCAGCACAAGTTCTTGCCGTAATTAAAGATAAATTTCAAAAATGGTTTCTAATCAACTTATCAACCCCTATTTAGTTGTAACTATTCTCTATTATTTAAGAGCAATTCATTTAAAATACCCTGACCTTTGCGAGTTGTAATAATCATACCCAATTTTGACCTTAACCCCCGGGACACCCCACTTTCAAACATTTGTTATAATTCCACCCTAAATCTAAAATCAAGGTTTAAAAATGAATTTAATAATAGTGATGTGGGTCCTACGACTGACTCAAGAGTTAAACTAACCCAAGTTGGCAAACCAAAAAGCAGCGTTTCTGCTTGTGTTCATAAAACCCAATCAGGAGCAAATGAATTTAATAATAGTGATGTGGGTCCTACGACTGACTCAAGAGTTAAACTAACCCAAGTTGGCAAACCAAAAAGCAGCGTTTCTGCTTGTGTTCATAAAACCCAATCAGGAGCCTTGGCAATGAACAAAACCCGATCCATAATACTCTTAACCTAATTTCTCAATCTCGCGTGCAAAGAAGAATACCAGGACTGACCCACGAACACCATCTCAGGACAAGGAGAGATTGCAGACCCATGGTGAACAAATAGAGACTTCTATTTAAATTTTATTTCCCTTTTTCTTCACTCTTTATGTTAATCCTTCTTGTATCACATTTCTATAGTGAACTCTACAACTCTCGATCACTCTCTCTCTCCTTTCCTTATTAAACCCATTAAAAAGAAATTGGAGGTGACCGGAACTTTGATGATAATTGGTAGCCTAGACAAGAAATTTTAGCTCTTTTAAAAATAAGGTCTGATATGTTTTGAGATTTCAGTATGAAGGGTCTTTATGGAAAGAGATTTCCAAGTGATTAATTTTCATTAATAATTAATAAATAAATTTCCTTTCCTTGATTTTTATTTTACTTTTGTTTCTTTCTTTTTTTTTTTTTTTTTTTTTTTTTTTTTTTTTTTTTTTTTTTTTTTTACACTTTCTGGAGGTTTCATTTTTTCTTTTTTTTTTTTTTTTTTTTTTTTTTTTTTTTTTTTTTTTTTTTTTTTAACTTTCTGGGGTTATTTTTTCTTTTAGCCGTTTTACAGTTTGTGCACTCTTAACAAAGAGATTACTTTTTCTCTTAACAACTAACAAAGACGATCCCTTTTTGCTTTTTGCTTTCTCTTTTCTAAGTTTCATTTTGAGGAATTGAAAATTTCACAATTTTATTATCTGGGTTTTGTTTCATTAATTAGTTCAGGTACAATTCAAATCCTCAAATGTATATTTCTTTCCATTCTAATAAAATAGATTTGTATTTGTTGGTTCTTGTTTTAATCTTAATCTTAGATGATTAAGGAGAGAGCAGTTTAGAGCAAATAAAGAGATGATACTCGTTGGTGAGAGGGGAAAGAGAAGCTAAAATTCATTGAAACAAAACAACAGTGAAACAAACCGTTTCACTCAATTTCAGCTGGGTTAGAGTTAACTAAGGGTCAGGCATGGGTCCCACTGTTCTATTTTTTATTGTTTTCCAAAGCTCTAATTTTAATTCGGGGGTAGAATTTATAACAATTGTTTAAAATTGGGGTGTCTTGGGGGTTAAGGTCAAAATGGGGATATAATTATTACAACTCGCAAAGGTCGGTATTTAAATGAATTACTCATTATTTAACCGAATACTATTACATTTCATGCAGGTTTTATTGGTATTAGTTAAAACATTTAGAAGGAAAATTAGAATACAGATATAATTTCCCCCAGACAAGGGAATAGGTTACTTTATGGCTTCCCATATTACAACCGAACAAGACTTTTACGCTTCTATTCATTAATTGCCAACTTAATGTTTAGATAAATCAAAATTTGAATAAGTATACTAAAGGAAAGAAATGAAATAACAAGTAAGAATACAGATTTTAGAGTGTAAGAACATACCTTAACGGGGATATCCTTTGGAAGACCCATTTGAGTTAGAACATGACAACCTACTTGATTCCAGTCAGTATGTTTCACATCCATCAATCCTTTGCAGCAATCTAACTGAATCAGGTTCTCATCAAATGGGAAAGACCTTCCCAACCAAAAATATAGAACCCTACTCTCATCTCTGCCTAAATCTTTAGTTGGCGCTAAAATTGCAAATGCAGCCTTAGAATCCAAGCCACTGGTACCAAAAGTTGTGATTCTTTCCAAACTGGGCCAATTGAATACCAATGGTTGCATTCGATTACAACAAGATGAAACACTTTCCTCCTTCCCATTTGTAATAGAACACCCCAAGCCTTCTTCCAAAGGAGAATTTCTATCTGAGCAATCATAATCATTTACAATGGCAGTTTCTTCGCGACACAAGTCAGCACCAGCTACTCTATCTAGAGATATATTCAACTTGCGTTGTTGCCTTGAATCTTCATCTCCTTTAGAATCATTCTTGGACTCTAAAACAATTTCTATACTATTTGAATTACACCAAGAGAAATTATTCTCGTTTATCCTAGCACCATCTTTCTGGCAGTCAAGTGAACTCGGAGGAATTTTAGTCACCCCCTTATCAGTCATCACTGGCAGCTTCAAAGACTTTGACAAGCTACCTCTGCGTTCTGCAAGTGAAGGTGAAGATTTTTTAGATGGTGAGGAAGTCACTTGAGAACAATGATTTGACATGCTATTGATGCTACTGACAGCATGAAATTCAGGAGTGTTAGATGATGGTTTAGAAGAAGCCTTAGACGAAAGAAGTGACAAATTAGAGAAGTTAGATAATGTTGAAGATACAAGGACAGAACATGAAGCTGCTGAAGGAGAATCTAGGGAAGATTCTGAGGAATACTTTGAGCTAGTACTAGAATCAGAAGAAATGGAATCTGGAGAGAGATAAGGAGGTGAAGAAGATGAAGATGATGACAACGACGAAGATGACGGTGATGAGGAGTGCACAATCATCATAGAATCTGAATAGACTCTGGACAGAAATATCTTCGGTGCTGAGACAAATTCCTTCATGTCACTCGGGGCAAATTTCCGCCTTAGCACACTCCAACTGCTTTCTCTAGCTGGAAGGTGGGTTTCATGTTCATTCTCTGATGATGCAAAAGGAGGCACAAATCCTCCCTTAATAGCTTTTTGGAAAATCTCAAAATCAACATTATAAGCCTCCAGTTTTCTCTCACCAGGGCAAATTTTAACAGCTGGTTCCCCAGCATCCACCCCATTCCGAGATTTATCCATTAAAGGTAGATAATTTGAAAAAGCATCCCAAAAATAAGCTGGCTCCTCCCCTTCTTTCATTACAATTATTGGCCCTTGAGCTCTCTCGTAACGAACAATCTGACATACAGCCCCTCTAGCATCCCTTTCCATAATAGCCTCACAATATTTACCAATCCAGATATATATTGCAGAAGGAATATGAACAATGAAGGCACCTCTAGAATCCAAAGCAGACGGTGAAGGATCATTCAACATTCTGGGGACAAGATGTAAGGGATCATATGGTGAGTGTGGGGCAATTCTATACATCCTCAACAACGAACTAGGGCTAAGAGGGAATGCATGGACCCTCTTCTGGCACTGTAATAACTGGCAAGCAAAACCCATGTTGGGGTCAGCAATACCTCTTGCTGCTTTCACATATTGAAAGGCATCGTCAAAACTCTGACCTTCTCTCCACATAAGATATGCTATCACCAATGAGGTGGACCGCGAAACCCCTTGACAACAATGAACAAAAACCCTTCCACCCTGTTCCCTAACATCCTCAAAATAATCAAAAACATCATAAAGAATACTTGTAATATCCTCTGAGGGACTATCCTGCAACCACAAGGTCCTATACATAAAATCAGCCTTGAAATACTCGGGACAGACAAAACCCACGCAATTCAGCACATGGGTAATTCCATTCTGTTTCAAAATCTCCCTATCCTTTGCAACAGCATCCCCACCAAGATACACATGTTCCGCTACTTTTGAGCATTCTTTATCAAAAAAAGCAATCCTATCTCTCTTCACTGACCCAGAATTCCTATCCGGATTTCTTTGGATTGAAGATAAATCAAGCTTCAATCTCTCACCACTCTTGTTCCCACCAGGGGTGATCGGCTGAGGCCACTCGCCCAAATCATCGGAACCTGCTTTTGGCCACTCATCTAAACTTCTGCGAGAAATAGCCAACGGCTGCAGAGGCGGCAAGCATGACCGCGCTTTACAGTTTTGTTGGGACCGTGGGGTTAAGGGAGCAGGGTACCTACGATTTTGCCCATTGTGACCATTTCCGATATCATTACTATTTGGATCTATGACACAGTCTTTCTCTTCAGCTTCAGGGTTTTGAAGGGCAGTCCTAGAAGAAGACCAAGACGCAGAGCGCCAGAACATTTTGCGGTTCCCAGCAGCAGAAGGAAGCTGGCGCGGAACCAGAGGATTCCCATCCTCTTGACCCACCATGCCCAGTCCACTTGAAAAAGTTTAAAAATACGTAATGTTTGAGCCAGACCCAGAAATCTTCAAAGTCTTACAGTTCTATTTGTGCTTGAATTTGGAGAATAAACCATGAACAAGTTAACTACAAATTAAGAATGAAAGTCCAAACCAGATCAAGCTGTGTTCAACCCTACAGAGTGTCACTGCAAGCCAAAAATAGAAGGAAATCAAGCATTTCATCATCAAAATTTTTTTTTTAAAAAAAAGGCATTAGTACAAACAATTAACACACTAAATCAACGATTTAACCCATGAGATTTTAAAGAGCCCCTCTAAAGAAATCCAGTCAAAAATTCGAAGTAAATATTCACGGAAATATACAAAAGAAACCATATCCTAGGGTTTTTTGTTCCGTTCTATTCTTCCTGCTGATACAAAAATAAGGAAAAATAGACTTGTAGAAGGTTAGATTTGATACTTACAGTGTAAGATACGAAGGTGAATCCAAGAATAGAGAGGTAGATTTAGAGGAAGAACGAGAGGCTATTAGGGAACAGAGGAAGAGAGAGAGGGAAAGGGAAGGGGTAGTAGCAGTCTTTTTCAGTTGTGACTTTCTTTCTTTATTTATTTGACTCCCAAGAAAAAGAGAAAGAAGGAAAGTGTGAGAGCCATTAAAACATTTCTCGGATTTCTTTGCTTCTTTTTGGACACAAGGTAACCAAAAACCCAATTGATGCTCCCTCAACTCTGTCTGGGCAAAATATTTATAGTACTCCAAATCTAAAATCATTATCATTTCATTGCCTTAACTTGGGTTGCAAATCCAATTAAAATTCAATATAAATCGAATAAAATCGAAATTTATTAAAATGTGATTCGAAGACAAAAAACTCCAATGGAAGAATCAAACCGAATCAAACTTGATTCGATTCAATTTGATTTAATAGTGTTTTGAAGGATTTCAATTTATTTTTAGGATTTAATAAAAATCAAATTGAATAAAAAAAAATTAAGTTTTCTCAATTAAAATTGAAATAAATTGATATGTAAAATATCAAAATGAATTTGAATTAACCGACTCGACTCGATTGAATAATTTAATTTTTCCAAAATATGCTATAACTCTAAGCTCATTTCTGAATCGTGATACTACAAATTTCACCGTATATGATCAAATTTTTAACTCCCTCGACATATAAAAATATTTAATCAAATTTTTAGAAAATGTAATGACATTGCAAGTTATATTTATAAACTATAATTTTACAATTGTCATTAGTCAATATCATAATTATTATTATCATCTTCTTATGTTGAATTTGGTGTCTAGTGACAGGGAAAAAGGAAAATTACCATCACACTTCTCCGAAGAGAAAACAAAATGAAGTGAAAAATAAAGAGAGTAATTTTTCCTTTATACCACAACCTTTTTTTTCCTTAAATAATATTATACGAACCTATTTTTAATTTATCTTTTGCAAGAATTTTCAATAATTGACTTTAATAATAATTTTAAAAATAATATTTAAAGTGCTTATTTAAAAAAACTTAACAATTTATTAATAAAGAATATAATGTCTATACATAACGATATTTCAATAAAATTTAAAAAAATACACGTATAAATAATTGAAAATTTTTATCTAGAGATAATGTTAGTAAAATAGATTTATCTTGTTTATAAAAATTAATCTTTTTCAAATATGACAACTAAGAAACTTTTTGTAATATTGTCCAAATTTTTTTTTTTTAGAAAACTTATCACATTTAAGACATGGAGGGGCTCCATTGATATTATTATCCAAAGTTTCCAACCAAAAGTAATCAGACAATTCATCTTGCATTTCAAACCGTCAAAAAGAACAAATCACAAGCAAACATAAAAATGTTTCAACAATAAAAGTAGACTATTAAAATAAATAATGATATTCTCTACCATTTAGCTAATACTTAGTAAAAGAATTAACAGCTATTATAAAAATTGACAACTATTAAAACAAATAATATTGTGAAATAGTCCTTAGTATTTTGTTTCTTAAAACAACTGTTAAGACAAATTAAAATACTAGTTAGGGAAGTAATTAATTTGTAACTATGGTATATGATATGATATGATAAATATATAAGTTGAGTGAAAAAAATATAAAACAAAAATTTCAACACATCACTTGGGAAATGGAATTTTTTTATAAATAATATTTTTTTTTTGAAAATTTTCTAATAGTTGCCTAAAGAGAAATTTTTTTTTATAAATTATTGGATCAATTATGCAAGAGAGTGCATTATTTAAAATCACTCCATATGAACTTTAGTCTCCATGGATAATAAGTTGACATAAGAATATCTAGGATTGAGTAATATGGTTAAGGCCAATTGTTCACTATTGTTAGGGTTTTAAAAGATTGAACAATACGGTTAGGATTGAGCAGTAATCAATTTTGATTTTTTTATAAGAAAAATCTAAATTTTTTATATCAGTTTGATTTTATTATATAAAACCGAAAAATATAAAATCCTAAAAATTAAAATGATTTAATTCTAAAATTAAGTCAAAATTAAAATTAAACTGAATCGATCCAATACAATTTAGTTTGATTCTATATACAATTTGGTTTGACTTGATATTTATATAAAATTTAATTTATTTAATTTACCTTTCTTCAATTTGATTTAATCTGAACCAATTGATCCGATCCAACTTTATGAACATTCCTTACCATATGTGAAAGCAAAACAAAAAATAGATTGTATTCATTTACGTTTAAAGTTAGTTAATTACCGTTTTTTATTAACGTTTTTAGACGTTTTAAGAATATGAATTTAGTTAATTATTGGTTTTTGTTGATGTTTTTATACGTTTTAAGAATGCGAATCTAGTCTCTAATATTTTCTTTTCTTTATCTTAATATCTTACCATTTTTTCATTGCAGAAAGAAAACCACATTGATTGCTTGCTTTTGGATTTGGCATTCATCACATTTCATTCTATTTAAATAAGATGCAAAAAAAAATATATTTCCTTCCATTTATTTTCTCATCGGATTTGCCCAAATATGGATATAACTATAAAATCTATTAATTATATATCCAAATTAAAATTCAAAAGCTATATATGACATAGTCAAAACATTATTTTGCGTAATCTTTATGAAAACTAAAGTTTATGGTAATATCGTAAAACCCATAATTAGGTTTCCATGGACTTGGATTTGTATTGACCAAAAAATTTTATTCACCTTTGCCCTACCTAAAATAATTAGAAAGTATTCGCGATTTGAATTTTTCTATATATAATTTAGATTCATTTGACCTACTGGCATATTTTGGAGAAGCAAAATGGTTTGCGACTAGTTTTCTATATCTTTTTCAAATGCGAAAATTAATTTAAATTTTTAAGACTCAGGTTCTTGATTATCCTTTTGCTAAAATTTTATCATAAACTGACGGTAATAATATGCCTAGTGAGAATCTGGTTTCTTCAGAAGAAGTCGACGTGTGCATGATCTCTAACCGAGATCATGCAAGAGCTTCATGTGGAAACCCTAAAGGAAAGTCTACCAATGCTAGAACGGGCCTAGCTAAGAACCAAAAGGTTGTATTCCCTCTTAAAGTGGGGTCTAAGCCCATATAAAAGCCCAAGAAGTCCACTTTGGATGACTTCTTTGATTTCACCTCAAAGTTCCGTAACAAGGCCTCTACTAGCATACTAGACACCACTTTAGACCCGTTTAACAACACCTTGATTCGCATTATTGATTCCCAACCTATTAATGAGCCCATGACTTTAGATGCAGGCCGAAATTGCAACCCAATTTCTGATAACAGACCTATTGACCTTGCCCAGCATCCACCTGATCTAGGAGAAATGCCTATTATTCCGATGGTTACCTCCTCTCCAAGTGTTCAAGGAGAGAATTTTACCAAAGAAAGAGAGCTATCAAGATGACGTTGAGATTTATGAGGGAGAATCTGATTAAGAGGATTCTATTGACGAGGATAAATTGTTTAAGAAAGAGGCTAGAGACCCCCTATCTCCATGATTAAGAGAATGGAGGTTTATGTGTTAAGGGTCTACTGTTTTCCTCTCTTTTGTAATTTTCTCATGTCGTTAATTTCGGTGGAATTGTCAAGGAGCAGGGAGCTCCTCCTTTATTTGGACTCTTAAGTTATTTTTGAAGGCATACAAGCCTGATTGCTTTTCCTGTTAGATCATATTACTGGTGCCAGAGTGGATTTTATGATTAAAAAGTTGGGGTTTACTTGTTCTTATCATGTTAAAGCTACTGGGTTTTCTGGGGGAATTTGGATTCTTAGGAATAAAAAGTGGGATGTGCAAATCTTGGCCAATAATACACAGTGGGTGCATGTTGGAATTGAAGATTCAGGTAAGATCCTCATGGAGGTCTCTATCATCTATGCTAGTCCATAGCCTGTCCGTCAGAGATCTCTATAGGAGGACCTCCTCACCTTGGCAAATGGTACGAATAATCCTTGGTTATTGATATGTGACTTTAACACTATAAAGTTGACGAAGAAGAGGTTTAGAGGATCCAGGAATCATTTTGCTGTGGATTTGGCTTTCTCACAATGGTTTTTGGACTCAGACCTCATTACATGGGCTTTAGTGGATCTCAATTCACTTGGAAACGAGGTATATTATCACAAAGACTTGACAAAGCCTTATGCAATGATGTTTGGTATCTGAAGTTTCCTAGTTACATGGTCAAACACCTTCCTCGAATCAGTTCGGATCATAAAACAGTTGGTTCAATTTTTGGGAGCTAACCCCCAGGCAACCGTAGCGTCGGCCTCGAACCAGAACCTTTCTATGTCAACTAATTTAGTTGCTTTACTATTAAGGTTCATAATTGGAACATAGAGGTGTTTGGTAATGTTTTTAGACAAAAGAAGATTCTTTTGGCTCGTTTGGATGGCATTCAACGAGCTTTGAAGACAAGCTATAATCCTTTTCTTACTCGTCTGGAAGGGCAGTTGAAGAAAGATCTAGAGGTTGTACTTTGCCAAGAAGAACTTGTTTGGTATTAAAAATCTAGGGCGAAATGGATTAATAGTGGGGATAAGAACACTAATTTTCTCCATTTAAGGGCTCTCCAATGCAGGAAAGGAATGTTATCTGTGCACTCAAAAATCAGGAAGGCACTCTTATTGATGACCAGGAGTAGCTTCCTAATATGGCTTTGGATTATTTCTCTAACATGTGTGGAGGAAGGATCCTATCATCCGACCTTTCCATTACAAGGTTCTTTTCCACGTTTTAATCCTACTCACTTTAAGTCATTAGCTAATCTTGTATCTGTTTCTGAAGTTAGACAGGCCCTATTTGATATGAAGCCTTGGAAGGCTCCTAGATTGGATGGTTTTCATGTGGGTTTTTTCCAGCATCAATAGCAGGTTTTTAGGAAGTTTGTGTTTAAAGCTATTAGAAATTTCTTGTCTGGTCATGACATGGGGTCTCATTTTAACTCTTGGTTCTCATCCCAAAAGTAGAAAATCCAGTTGCTATCTTATAATTTCGGCCCATAAGCCTGTGTAATGTTCTCTTCAAGATCTCAACAATGTTCTTAACTAATAGATTGAAAGTTATCCTGCCTCAAATTATTAGTCCGACCCAGATGAGTTTTGTGCTTGGACATTATATCATAGACAATATTATTATTTTCCAAAAAGTTCTACATATCGTTTAGTCTCATCGAAGCCGTAAAAAATTAATGACTATTAA